GAATTCTGTTAAGCCGGAAAAAGGTATGAGGCACTCCCGAATTCCGTAGTTTTGCACGGTCATTTACAATTACACTCGGCTTAGTTATCTGATTAATACATATTTTAAACCTATGTGCATTTTTACCTTTCTCTTTTAATTATTTTAAACAATTATGAAATTTATTTAAACAAGTCATGATATCGTGCACTTATCGTTTTTTACATATGAAAATTACGCCACGTGAAACGTACCCACGATTCATAACATGTTTATTTCATTATTATTTGAAGTTGGGGTCAAGTCACACGAACGTGCACTTGAAATTGGGGTTACATATCATGACTATACCACGGGAACTTTACCCATATCCATGATGATTTATTATTAAGTGTGTGCCTAAAGCAGGCTATGAATGTTCATAATTATTTATTCTACATAACTTTGAGATTAATGTGAAGGTCATAAATTATGGATAGGCATTAGGGAGAAAAGTATACAATTACTTGCTTAATATTTTGCCATGATTACACACCCCCTGCATGGATATAGTTAATTAGATAAGAATATTTGAGAAAACTCGCATTGGGTCTACTTGATCGAAAATCTGATTAATTAGTAAAAGTCGTCCAATCCAGTTAAAATCAAAGACGGTTCAAGTTTGATCATACAGCTTAATACGACCTTAGAGGATAAAGATGGCCCAACTCTCATCTTTGAATCTGTAAGCTTCTAATGGGCTAGAAGTTGAGCCCAATATAAATGTGAAGGCTAGGCCCAAATGTTTATGGAAAACAAGGCCCAGCGATTCACCAAGGAAAAATGTCGTTCAAACTCAAAATGATTTGCATACGACAGCTGAGAAATTAGGAAACAATCATATATCTTTTAGCATCAATATATGAATGGTTCAATTTCAGGAAAGAAACGAAACGAATTCATTACATCAATAACCATTTTCCATAAATTATCCTTCTCAATTACGACTCAAAAACAAAAGTGTTACTAAATTACTAAAATAAATCAATTGTGGGCAACTGATTCCACTCATGCTTCTGCTCCTTACACTTTGAACACTTAACAGTCCATTCTCAACTTTAATCTTTGAAATCTTCAAACCAGAAAATATATCATAGATCTCAAATTAACGAATAGTGAATCACTGTCAGTTGAATGCACAACCAATTCGAAGTTAAGAGAGACTAATTTTCAGGCAAATTGTTCTTCAACAAGTTGAACACATATGAAATCAATTTTCAGATCTATTGAATAACTATTCAGAGCAATAACAAGTTGAGATTCATTTAAATATAATCATTCATTAAACAGATGGTACAAGTTCAGGAAGTGCACCTAGAAAAACTCGAAAAACAAGCTTCAAATAGCCAAATAAAGGCTGAATCAAAGATGAGCAGGTTCAAACAGTAGAGCATTAGTAAACAGCTTCAATTCCAGGTGCAACCCATTTTTATGAAGTCCAGGTGAGAAATATAGAATACTTCCTTCAATCAACAACAACAACTAATTATTTTTGAGTATGAAAGCAGCCTAAACTTTTTACTTTTTATGTTTTTCCTCTCAGTTTTTAAAAGCTACAAAAATCAGATCTCAGTAAAGGAATTTTCAATCTCAAAATCTGTTCTCAGCTCTTTTTCGTGTGAGATCTGTGTTGAGATGGTTAGAGTGACAGCTGGTGACAGTTATAAAGATGAAGGCTTGAAGGGTGACAAAGTCAGTTAGGTGATAGTTGTATATAGTAGAAAGTTAGTTAATTAGTTAGTGTTAGAAGTTAATTATATATGCACACCACGTGTACAGTGTTACTGGCTAATAAGCCATTGTATTTTCTCTCCATTTTCTCTGTAATTGATAATTGTTTCCAAAATCTTCATCTTTTTCTTCCTTCGATTTAGTCTCAGCTTCACTCCTCCACCCTCTAATGGTGGATTTTATCATGGTATCGGAGCTTGAGTGACTCGATCGAGGACAGAGTAGTTCTATTTCTAGCTTTTGTTAAGACGATACTGTCAGTTCATAGATTTCCCTTTTGAGTTGAAATTGAAGCTCAACAATGGCAAATTTTGATATCGACAACCCTAGGCATCCATTATTCATGCAACCATCCGATAATCCTAGCAATGTGATAATTTCAATTTAGCTAAAAGGAACGGAAAACTATTCTTTCTGGAGCAAAGCTATGGTGATTGTGTTGCGAGCGAAGAGGAAATTAGGGTTTATTGATGGAAGTTGTACAAAGTCTCAATTCACTGAAGATTTGGGCGAGGACTGGGAGCGAGTCAATGCAACAGTGCTGACATGGATCATGAACACTGTATCTTCAGAATTGGTAAATGGTATTGTGTATACTGAAAATGCTCATGAGGTTTGGTTGGACCTTGAAGATCGATTCAACAAAGTCAATGATTCTAGAGTCTATAATCTCTAGCGAGAAATAGCTACAATCTCTCAAGGTACCTCTAGTATCTCTGTTTATCACTCTAGGTTGAAGTCATTACGGGATGAATATGGTTCTCTTTTACCCTCACTCCTAGTTACTGCTGGAACAAGAGATTTTATTGAACATCTAGAGCAACAAAGGCTTTTTCAGTTCTTAATGGGATTAAATGAATCATATGGAGCAATTAGAAGTCAAATTCTATTGCAATCTCCATCACCTTTAGTTAGTCGTGCCTTTTGCAATGTTAATAAATGAAGAGAATCAGAGGAAAGTCTATGTGTCTAATTCTCATATTAGCTTAGCAAATAAAATGAATGAATCCACAGTTTTCATGAGAACAAGAGGAAATCAGTCGAAGTTTAAAAGGCTAAATGACTTGTATTTTGAGTATTGCCACTTCAAAGGCCACTTCAAAGGCCACTTGTTACAAGTTGCATAGGTATCCACTTGGATACAAAGGAAAAAGGCAGCAACAATACAAGCAGGTAAATGCAACTGCGAATAATAGCAGTCATGTTCAAGAGAATGCCATGAATAAAGGAAAAGCTGAAATGCCTAAAGGAATGTCAAACTTCTTCAGTGAGAAGCAGTATGGCCAGATAATGAGGTTGCTAAACAAAGAGAAGGCAGAGGATCACACAGTTAATATGACAGGTAATTATGACTCATGTTTGTTGAAAGATTGTAGGGATCCTTGGATTATAGATACTGGAGCAACAGATCATATGGCTTCAAATCATAATATGTTGGACGATATAGTAAATTTACCTGAACATAGAAGATGTAATGTAGCCTGCCAAATGGTAAGTTTGTTCCTGTTACTTATCAAGGCAGTTATAATCTTACATGAGATGGTACCATACATGATGTGTTGTGTGTGCCTGAATTTAAATATAACTTACTGTCAGTTTCTAAATTGACAAGAGAGTTACAATGTTCAATGAATTTTTTCCAACATTTTGTGTCTTCCAGGATCTGTTCATTAGGAAGGTGAAGGGGATTGGTAAAGATTAAGGTGGTTTGTACCTCTTAATTCCAAAGAAAACAGACAAATACGAGGAAATCCAAAGGATTAGAAGTTGTCTTGCAACAGGATTTTGAAGATTGATGTTGAAACCTGGCATAAAAGGCTTGGACATATTCCAGTAGCTGTCATGAAGAAGCTAGATTTTATGAAGAATAAAGATTTTCTAGGTTGTAATATCAATAATTGTACTGTATGCCCTTTGGCTAGACAGACCCGAAGACCTTTCCCTCTTAGCAATAGTAGAGCAAGTGATATTTTTCAATTAGTTCATGCAGACATTTGGGGTCCATATAGAGTTACAACATACAATGGGAATAGAAACTTCTTAACACTTGTAGATGATCATTCCAAGATGATTTGGGTGTTTCTAATGAAATTGAAAAGGGACATTATTGTCTTGTTAAAATCATTCTTTAAACTTGTTCATGTGCAGTTTGGAAAGACAATTAAAATGTTAGGATCTGATAATGTTGCAGAATTCTTTAGCAAAAAATGTAAGGATTTCTTATCTAATTCAGGAGTTTTTCACCAAAGCAGTTGTCCACACACTCCATAACAAAATGGAGTGGTGGAAAGGAGACATAGGCACATCCTAGAGGTGGCAAAGGCATTGAGATTTCAAGACAGCATTCTACTACATTTCTGGGGAGATTGTGTGTTAACAGCTGTCTATCTTATAAATAGAATACCATTCTCAATTCTGGGGGGGCAGGTCTCCTTATGAGGTGTTTCACAAGTCCAAGCCAAGTCTGCTGCATTTAAGGGTTATAGGTTGTTTGTGTTATGCCACAGTTACAGAGAAAATTAATAAATTCTCACCTAGAGATATAGCAGCAGTTCACGCGGGGTACTCAATTTCTCAGAAGGGCTATAGATTGTATGATCTCAAGCCAGGAGATTTTTTGTGAGTAGAGATGTAACATTCAAGGAGAACATTTTTCCTTTCCAGAGAGGTGTAGATTTTCCACTATTTTTGGAGATTAATGATGCTCAAGCAGATATCTGAAAGGCACCTGCACAAGTGGTAGATCAGGAAGCAAACGCAAATGATGCAGGATAGGATGCAGCCACCACAACCGATCCTTCACTTGATGAACTAGCCTGTGATACTCAGTTAGTAGCAGTTAATGAGAACACCTCTGATGAACAACTTCAGCATGCTGCATTGCCTATAAATGATCCTACTAAACCATCAGTTCAATTGAGGAGATCTTTTAAGAGATCTAAAACTACCAACATGGCTGAAAGACTATATTTGTCCAGGAAAAGCAAGCTCATCCTCCAGTTGCATCTATCCTATGTCCAACTACTTAGACTATTCTTCTCTTTCACCAAAATATCAATCCTTTTTAGCTGCTAAATTTGAGACAGAACCTGCATCTTATGTTGAAGCAATGAAGGACCCTAGATGGATTAAAGCTATGAAAACAGAAATTGATGCTCTTGTCCTAGACAACACATGAGAAGTAGTTGATGTACCCAAAGGCAAGGTTCCTATTGGATGTAGGTGGGTGTAAAAGACCAAGTATAAATTCAATGGGGAGATTGAGAGGTTCAGGGCCAGGTTAGTGGAAAATAGTCAGTAAGAGGGACTAGACTACAAGGAGACATTCTCTCCACTAGTTAAAATGGTCATAGTAAGGGTGGTTATTGCTCTTGAAGCCATGAACTAGTGGAACCTCTACCAAATGGATGTCTCCAATGCTTTCCTTCAAAGTGATCTTGAAGCAAAAGTTTATATGCAGCTCCTACCAGGTTTTGGTAGTCAAGTGGGGAACAAGGCATGCAGACTACACAAATACTTATATGGGCTCAAACAAGCATCAAGACAATGGAATTTGAAGCTCACTGAGGACTGATTAATGCAGGCTTTGAACAGAGCAAGCATGGTCATTCTTTGTTCACCTTGAGGAAGATGCTAAACTTGTCATCATCCTTGTCTATGTTGATGACCTCCTTATCACAGGAAATGATGCTGATATGATTCAAGAAGCTAAGACAATCCTTCATAAGAAATTCAGAATTAAGGACTTGGGCCTTTTGAAATACTTCTTGGGGATTGAAGTTAGCAGATCCGGGAAAGGCATATTGATATACCAAAGGAAGTATACAGTGGAACTAATAGTAAAGGTGGGCTTAGCAGGGTCTAAACCTGCAATCACTCCAATGGAGCAAAACAAGAAGTTAACAACAGTAGAGTATGGTACACACTGTAACTTGAAGGATGATCCAGCACTCACAGATGTCAAAGGATATCAAAAGCTCATAGGGAAGCTCTTATATTTGACATTAACTAGGCCTGATATTGCATACACAGTACAGACTTTAAGCCAATTCATGCAAGATCCTAAGAAGTCACACTTAGAGGCAACACATAGATTGGTGAGATACTTGAAGAATTAACCAGGATTAGGCATTCTCATGAGTGCAGATGGTGACATGACTCTGAGAGCATACTGTGATGCAGACTGGGCAAGCTGTCCAAATTCAAAAATAACAGGTTACTTGGTAAAATTTAGAAAGTCTCTAATTTCATGGAAGTTAAAAAAGCAAAGTACAGTAGCAGGAGTTCAGTAGAATCAGAGTATAGGAGTATGGCACTGGCAGTTTCTAAATTGATCTGGCTGCTAGGAGTTTTCAAAGAATTGGGAGTTGAATTGCCTATTCCAATTCAACTATTCACTGATAGTAAAACAACAATGGATATAGCAAGCAATCCAGTGTTTCATGAACGAACCAAACATATAGAGATCGATTGTCACTTTACAAGATAAAAGGTGCAAGAATGACTGATTCAACCTGCGTATGTTCTAATAGAAGAACAAGCAGCAGATTTGTTGACTAAAGGACTTGGAAGTGTTCAACATCACCATCTGATATGCAAACTAGGTGTTTTGAACATCTTCATGGCACCTAGCTTGTAGGGGGTGTTGAGATGGTTAGAGTGACAGCTGGTGATAGTTGTACAGATGAAGGCTTGAAGAGTGACAAAGTCAGTTAGGTGACAACTGTGTATAGTAGCAAGTTAGTTAATTAGTTAGTGTTAGAAATTAATTATATATATACACCACGTGTACAGTGTTACCGGCTAATAAGCCATTGTATTTTTTCTCCATTTTCTCTGTAATTGAAGATTGTTTTCACAATCTTCTTCTTCTTCTTCCTTCGATTTAGTCTCAGCTTCAATCCTCCACCCTCTAATGGTGGATTTTATCAATCTATATGTCTGGGAAGAGAGTGAGTGAGTGTCGTTTATAACTGAATTTCTAGGGAAACCCTCAGATTTTCCCTTTCTATTTAATCCCTTTTCAATCAAAAGACCCCTTTCAGTCCCTTTTTATTACTAAAGCAGTCATTTTCTCCCTTCTAGAAACCTTAAGGCAGTTACTATAAGATTCCCTTTATTTCCCCAAATACCCCTTAACTCCATGCTTTTTATCATTTTCAATATTCAAATACCTGGGTGTTCTAACCAACGGGCCCATTAACAGCATAACAGGCCCAATCCTTTTGAAACCAAACCAAACAGATCCCTGATTTAGAAGGAAAATCAATTCACGTTCAATTTTTGATGGACTGACTAAGTAGCTAAAAAACAATTAACATTAACAACTAAATAAAACTAAAAATCGTGCCACTAACTTTAACCATAATGAAATTAACTCATTTGGAACCAAAGATAAAAAGATAAACAAACTAACTAACTACAAAAGCATTGGAAAGAAATTACCAGAAGAAAAACTAAATTGCCGGCAATGAAATTGAAAGTAATGGAGAGAATCCGGGCTCGTAGAATCCGTCACTTCAAAATCGATCAAGGATTTATAACTAATGAGTACTCGTTCAACTGTTTGGTCGAATAAGTACCCAACTTGTTTGGTCTACAACAATTCAATAGCTCTTACTTTTTTCAAAACGGTGCACCTTTCTTCTTATTTCATTAGTTCCACTCAAAAGTCAAACCAATCACCCCACTCTTTAACTTTTACAAAATTCATAATAATTCAAGTGCTCATGAGAGGTGAAAATGTTCAAATAGATGGTTACTTCAAACAAATGGGTAAGGCTTGTAATGTGGTTGCTAAAGAAACAGGATTACAGGCTTAAAGGGGTTAATTACGATACGTAATAATTAGGTGGTTAAAATAAAAGCATATAACTGGCTCAACAAAGAAATATATATATCACTTCCATGACTAAACAACACTACTATATTGCTTTGCAAATACAGAGCAAGATCTAGACATCAAATGCAATGCACAATGTTAAGAATGAAGATCAAAAGGATTTGGTTTCCACCATTGAAGTAGAGAGAAGGTTCTAGACAAGAGAATAATTGGGGCAAATGAAAATGTATTATTTCTACTTCTACTGAGTATGTATATACACATGTGTAAGAATTAAAAAAAAAGTGTAATTACAAAACTGCCACTAACAACTACAAAACTAAACTAACTAACACAACTAACTATTGTATCACTAACTATATACAACCGTATGTGTATAAATATAGTCATTCTCAATACCCTCACTCAAGTTGGAAGTGAGGAATTCACTCCCAACTTGCTAAGAAGATCCGAATGTTTGACCTCTATGAGTGCCTTTGTCAGGATGTCAGCCAGTTGATCAGAGGTGGAGATGTGATGCAACTCAACTAGTCCCTCCTGTATCTTGTCCCGGACAAAGTGGCAATCCACTTCGATATGCTTTGTTCTCATCATAGAATACAGGGTTTCTTGCAATGTGCATAGCTGCTTGACTATCATAGAACACAGTTATGGGATTGGTACACATAGCTATCAATTCTTCTAGCAACCTTTTTACCCATACTAACTCATCAACAACCTTCCTGACTGACCTATATTCTGCTTTTGGAGAGGACAATGAAATAGTAGTTTACTTCTTTGGCTTCCAATTGATAGGGCTGTCTCCAAGTAGCACAATATACCCACTCACAGACTTTCTTGAGTCAGGGCAAGTAGCCCAGTCTGAGTCACAGTATGCACTGACAGTATAGTTAGGATCATTGGACAGAATAATTCCCAAAGTAGGATCTTTCTTCAAGTATCTAAGTACATGTATATTAGACTTTAGATGAGGTTCTCTTGGTGCCTGCATGAACTGGCTTAAATGTTGGATACTATAGGCTATGTCTAATCTAGTATTTGTCAAAAAGTTTAGTTTCCCAACTAGTTTCCTGTAATACCATGGATCTGAAATAAGGCTCCATCTTCACTTCTCAATTTGATGGTAGGATTAAGTGGAGAGTTGACAGAAGAGTATGTTGAATAGTCATATTCCTTTAATAGATCCATGGTGAATTTACTCTGGCAAACTAATACTCCATTTCCCTTGTACAACATCTCTAACCCCAAGAAGTAATGTAGCTTCCTAAGATCCTTTATCTTGAATTGATGATGCAGGAAAGCCTTCAAGTCTTTAGTTTCCTCCAAATTGGTTCCAATAATGATCACAACATCCACATACACAGCTACAAAGACTGCTGAGGTCTATTGTTTCTTGTAAAATAAGGAGTAATCACTAGCTGAATGCTTGAAACCCCTGGAATGCAGTGACTCTATCAATTTATCATACCATTGTCTACTAGCCTGTTTTAAACCATACAATAATTTCCTAAGTCTACAGACTAGATTTCCATTGGGCGCCATCAGTCCTTTTGGAACTTCCATATACACTTCTTCATGTAAGTCTCCATGAAGAAATGCATTGTTTACATCTAGTTGATAGAGGTCCCACCTCCTCTTTACTGCAATGCTGATCAATGTTCTGACTGTGGTCATCTTTGCCACTGGTGAAAATGTCTCTGTATAGTCAATTCATGCTTCTTGTGTATATCCCTTTACCAGCAACCTTGTTTTGAATCTCACCACACTTCCATCAGTTTTGTGTTTGATCTTGTTTACCCACTTACAACCTATAACATTCTTCCTTGTAGGCAATTCAACTAATTCCTAAGTATGGTTAGCATATAAAACTTCAAATTCCTATGTCATTGCTATTTGCCATGCAGGATTCATGGATGCCTCCTCATAAGAAGATGGCTCACAATCATGTAAAATATTTCTAAGAAATTGTTGACTTTTAGAATGTAAGACATTGAGGGAGATATGTTGTTTACTATTACAAAAGGTATTAAATGATGTGGGATTGGTGTGAAGTTCAGGTTATGTGTCATGATGTTGAAGGGTTGGTAATGAATACACATAGTCTTTGAGGTGTGCAGGGATTGTATATGTTCTCCCTGATCTTCTAGGTTGTGAGGGATTTGGTTGGGAAGGATTATTGGTCTCAATACCTTGAAACTCAGCATGTTGCACCTGTGTGGGTGGTTGATAATTAGGGCTGTTTTCTGTGGATATGTGTGAGTTTGGTAAATCTTGATTAGGAGCTATTGGATTAGGTGAAGAAGAAGGTGCAGAATTGTCTGATACATGGCCATTAATGACAGAAATTGACGCATCCTTATCATACAAGTTACAATTATTTTGAGTTTCAGAAGTAGATTGAATGAAAGGTGGATTAGAGTTTATCAGATGTAATATAGAAGGAAAGCTAGAATTTTCAGGTGAAACTGCAAAGGAAAAAATGTTTTCATGGAACACTACATCTCTAGATATGTGTATCCTCTTTATGGCCAAATCTAGAACCTTGTAACACTTTGTACCAAAGGGATAACCTACAAAAACATGGGGTGTGGATCTTGGTTCAAATTTATCTTTGTGAGGTTTTAGAACACAAGGATAGCATAGGCATCCAAAACTTTTCAGTTGTGAGTATTTGGGCTTTTTGTTATACAGGAGTTCAAAAGGGCTTTTATTGTTAAGAATACTTGATGGAAGCCTATTTATTAGATATGTGGCTATTAGGATACACTCCCCCAGTAGCTTGTAGGTATTTTGGACTGGTAAAGTTGGGCTCTTGCTGTCTCAAGTGGGTATTTGTGCTTCTTTCCACAACACCATTTTGTTGTGGTGTGTATGGACAAATTTTCTGATGCACTATGCACTTTTCTTGGAAATATATCAATGTCTCATTATTGACAAACTCAAGACCATTATTAGATCTAATAGTTTTAATTGAGGTACCAAATTGGTTTTCGATTAAGGACATAAATCCTTTAATAGCATGAAAAGTGTTGCTTTTGCAGCTTAAAAGGTGAGTCCAGGTTGACCTACTAAAATCATCAACCATGGTGAGGAAATATTTGTAGTTATCATGGGTAGATATGTGGTAGGGACCCCATAAGTATACGTGGAGTAATTTAAAGATTTTAGTGGATGAAGAGGTTCTTTCAGGGAATGGCAACCTTTTTTGTCAGGCCATAGGGCAAATTGAACCGGTGAGCGGCTGTTCGGGAGAAAAATTAGCTGGTATGGTAGATATCTTCCTCATTTTTTACAAAGGGTACATGACCTAACCTATTATTCCACAAGTAGTCAACATTGTTTCTAGAAGATTAGAGCATATAAGACAGGAACTCACATTAAAAGGATCAGTTTTATTGCATGAATTGATGATATTTACATTGTTCAATGGACAAGGTAACTTATTTACAACTGAAAATGAATGAAATGGATGAATTCTTGTCATGCACCAAACCTGGGGAGGCGTGGCTGTCACTCGGTGCCGAGCTAGCCCAAGCGAACCACTCTGTAAGTTTTTTTTATAAAAAATACTAGATTAATGAACTGCCCTTTTTAAATCATGAATACATATGGGCCATCAAGACCTCTGACATAATGTACAAAATGAACCTCTATCTACAAAGCCTCTAAGATATTTGACATCAAATGGGATAGGGTACCGTCCTTCCCATAAGTCTGTAGCAAAAGTCCAACACAATGACACATAGACTCGGCTGCACTCCGAATAAGGTGGAGTCTTATCAATCCTTCGCTGAGTGCCAATATCGTCTACTATGAAGGCTGATGAAACTGATTATCTATGCCTGCAGGTATAAATGCAACATCCCCAACAAAAGAATGTCAGTACGAATAATGTACTGAGTATGTAAGGCATGTAAATAAGTATATAAAGAGCATGAGAGAAACATGGAGTAAAGGACTCAACCGGTGAGTCTGGATAGCTATGTAAATCATGAAATATTTATAATATCATGCATGTGCATATAAATGTCGTGGAATGCATATGATTTATTAAGTCATAACTCAATAATTCATTTTAAAACTTTCCCGAGGTTCTTCAGTTGAAAAATTTGCGACATATCCTCTTATTGTTAGGTTTACCAGAATATTAATCTCTAAGTTGAATATGCTATTAGCAATTTAAATTTTTGACTCAATTCCAAGTTTCAAAAGAAAAAGGAAACTAAGGTATAATATCTATAATACGAAGACGATATAGTGTATATCCAAAAGTAGTAATAATGGTAACTATCCAAAATTATACTTATAAAACTTTTATCACAATACTCCACTTAAAAGAAAATACCACACTAACATAATATTTAACGATATTAAGGTTGTAAACATACACGGTCTCATACTAATAATGTCTTAAACCCTCTATAACCTCCTAATAGACATAATTCCTTCGAAATCATATAAATTACTACGACTTATCCCAATATTAAAATACGGGATATAACAATTTGATCTTTTTTCTTACTAACACTGCTATTAGGAATAGAGAAACAGGAATGTGGTAAACTAGGAATTGAAGTAGTGGATGGAGTTGAATCTGAACAACTGTGACATTTTGAACAGAGAAAGTACAATCCACTTCTTGCCTTACAAATCTCCGAAGGCATCTTCATTGAAGGGGCCTGCATTAGACAAATATATTTATTGAAGTTAACTATGCAATCAAGGTGCACTGTTAATGAGTGGATTGAAATGAGATTGTATTTGAAACTAGGTACATATAGGACTCTAACTAGAGCTAGTTTAGGACTAAGGAAAGCATCACCAATTTCTATTACTTTCACTTTATACTCATTAGGTAAGGTCACAAGGAAAGGATAAGGCAAAGTTCTAATGTTAGTGAGAAAGGATTTTCTATGGTTTGAAGCTCCACTATCTAAAATCCATAGGTCAGCAATTGAGTTTGACATTTACATGTAGTTGTTTCAGCTATCTCTTTATAAGTACAGCAAGCTAAAATACCTTCAAAGTTCACAGCTCCACTGGTGATGATGTTTGGATTTTCCCCTGCAATGTTGACCTTGAAGTTTTCCAGCAAATTCAGCAGCTGATTGTATTGTTCCCTCGTCAGATTCTGAATACTTTGGTTTTGATCCATGTTTCTGACATCTTCACCATTGCAAGTTGGAATCTTTTTACACTGGCCATTGGATATTTACAGCAGATCCTGTGTTTCCGCCTTTTGTAAAATTGAAGTCATGTGGAAATCCATGTATCCTATAGCAATTGTCTCTAGTGTGACCTGGCTTTTTTTGCAGTAATCACAAAACAATTGAGACTTGGCAGGTGGATAGCCTTGCTTGTTTAAACTGTATTAGTTGTAAGTAGCACCATTTCCTCTTGGATTGTAATTTGTCCTGAACTTATTATTATTATTATTCCCAGGTCCATTTACATTCAATGAAGTGGACTCCATGACCAATTGGTTGCTTGGCCTGACTTCTCTCTGCTTTTCTTCCTGAATAAGAATGGAGAAATCTTGTGCTATGTTGGGCAGTGGATTCATCACAAGTATGTTGTCTCTCACTACTTTCTAAACTTTTTTTAGGCCCATCAAGAACTGAATTAACCTTCGATCCTGTTCAGCCTTGTGCATATTAGCCTTTGCACCACAAGTACACTGACAAATTGCATTGTGCATGTGCATTCAGTGTATTTAATTCCTCCCAAAGCCTTTTCATTTTTGAATAGTAGCCTGTGATATCCAAAGTACCCTGACTAAGGTCGTTAATTTCTTTCTGTAATTGGTACAACTTTGCTCCATTAGTTTGATCATATCTATCTTCCAGCTCTTGCCACAATTCCTTAGCATCACTAACATATTGTAGGCTATCAGCTAAGTCCTTTGAAAGAGAGTTTAGAATCCAGGATATTACCATATCATCGCATCGAGACCACTGATCGTAATTCGCATAATCAGAATTAGGTTTCTTACATTTTCCGGTAATGAATCCAACCTTGTTCTTCACGGGTAATGCTGTGAGAACTCCCCTTCTCCAAGATCTATACCCAATTCCATCAAAGACAACAGGTACCAATGTCGTTCCAGCACTCTCCGACGAGTGCATGTATAGCAAATTGGCTGAATCCAAATTGTTGGTTGTGTTCTGATTTTCCTTGTCTCCGGCCATCAGTTGAAGACGAATTTTAGATAATTAGGTGAAATAGCTTCTGAATTTGAGAAGAAATCGAGAAATCCCGAACCCTAGCGACGAACTGTGAAATGCAGATTTTGATCTTTCGAGATTGAAAAATTGAAATTGAACAATGAGATTTGATGAAGATAGAGACACATTGTGAGAGAATCTAGCTGGGCTCTTATACCATGTTAAGAATAAAGATCGAAAGGATTTGGTTTCCACCATTGAAGCTCTCGTTGAGCTTTAGAGATAAGGTTCTAGACAAGAGAGTAATTAGGGAAAATGAATGTGTATTATTTCCACTTCTACTGAGTATGTATATACACGTGTGTAAGAATAAGAAAAGTGTAATTACAAAACCGCCACTAACAATTACAAAACTAAACTAACTAACACAACTAACTACTATATCACTAACTATATACAACCGTATGTGTATAAATATAGTCATTCGCAATACACAGAATAACACACAAACCTCACACACAAATGGCACATAACTCACTCAGGATTGGACTTATCAAGACACTCTAGTCAAAGCAGTTAAGCAAACTTAAGATTATACAATTTAAAGTAATTATGCAAGAGTCAAAAATTAAGCCTAAGCGTCACATCCAAAGTACTCACAATTCTCAAGGCATAACAAAGTCAAGAGATATTGCTTCAATTCATTTTATCTCACAGTGGCTCCTACTCCTACAAAAATAAACTAACTACACCCGGTTCAAACAAAACCCTTGGAAAAGAACCGCGGCACAAAGAAAAGCCAAGGGAAAATTACTACACTACCTACAAAAAAATCTTTTTGTCCTTTTTCTTTAGACTTAAATCCCTCAAGAAAATTGTCTAGGAGATCTATCATCGGGAAAAGTCCAATTTTTTTACTTTTTTTTTCGATTATTCACAACTACTAAAATACTACACAACTACGAAATTAAAAATAAGAGGTTAACATTTTTCTACATCCCACTACTAATTAGCTAGAAAATTCTCTCACCCCACACTTAAAAGAGTGCAGTTCCTCCAATGTACAAATAAATCAAAACAATAATGAGGGTGGAGAAGAAGCTCCCTGAAAGACCAAAGGCCGAAGCAATAGCGGCTCATAGGGTACTCAAACTTCCCCCATGCATGGTCCTTTGTGTGGGCACCCCATACTTAGTTCTCACCATCTAACTTGTTTTTGCACTCTTCCAATGGCTTTTCCTCCTATGCTTATAATCCTACAAAATAAAAACAGACACTACAAAAATAATATAATAAAAAATTAAAAAAATAAAAGAAAGCAGTAAAGCTGGGTTTTGTCCCAACAAGTGCCTAATTTAATATTGCAGCACGATGTGAACCAATTTTTCCTCCACCTCAAACTTATGAGTTGTACCCCTAACATGGCATACAGTCTGTGGCTATGCTCCTTTGGTGGAGATACTACAATAAATAGGCCAAGTAATAAAATTTTCACTCTATACTTCTCGGCCTTTATGAGGAATGTAATTTTTTCTCTCTGGCATGACAAATCCAAGAATGTAAGCAGCTTGTTTCTCTTCCATTGACTCCTCCAAAGGCTCAGATGACTCGATTTCTATAACAACCCGACCGGTCATTTTGGGATTTTGAACTTTGCTCGCCAGTTCTCGAGCATGAATTTCCTCGTGTGATGTATTATGACTTATATAAATTGTTGGTTTTGGTTTTCAGGGTAACCAGAATGAATTTGGAAGAACCGTTCTCAGTTTGAAGCTTGAAATTTGAAAGGTTTGACCAAGATTTGACTTGTTGGTATATGATCTCGGATCGGAATTTTTATGATTTGGTTAGCTTCTTTAGATGATTTGGGACTTAGGAGCGTGATCGTAATGCATTTTGGAAGTCTGTGGAAGGTTTAGGCTTGAATTAGAGAAAATGAGATTTTGGCGTTTTCCGGTTGATAGGTGAGATTTTGATATAGGGGTCAGAATGGAATTTCGAGAGTTGCATAGTTCCGTTGTGTCATTTGTGACATGTGTGAAAAATTTCTGGTCATTCAGACGAGTTTTGATAGACGTTTTGATCAAAAGCGGAATTTGGAAGTTCTTGAAGCTCTTAGGCTTGAATCCGATGTGATTTTGGTGTTTGATGTTGTTTTGAATATTCTGAAGGTTGGAACAAGTTTGAATGAGGTTATGGGATATGTTGGCATATTTATTTGAGGTCCTGAGGGCCTCGGGTGAGTTTCGGGTGGTTAAACGGATCAATTTTGGACTTTGGACTTGGCAGTTTTTGCTGGTTTTTGTTGCAGACGAATTGTTCTTCGCGTTCGCGATCAGGGACTCACATTCGCGAAGGGTGTTTTGTGTGATGATATTTTTGTTCTACGCGTTCGCAAGGATGAAAACGCGAAGGTGGAGGATTCCTGTGCATCGCGGACACGAGACTGGGGTCGCGTTCGCGTAGGGGAGTAAGGTCGTTGGGCACCCCAGGACCATGTGATATGCGTTCGCGAGAGTTGCATCACGTTCGCGAAAGCCTGGTATGGCGAAGCATCGTGTTCGCGTGGAATTGTTTGCGTTCGCGAAGGGAAAAGTGGAGAGGCAGTGAATTTGGTCTATGCGAACGCGAGAGACCGGTCGCATTCGCGAAGAAGGTAATTTTACTTGGGGCAAAATGTTTAAAAGTGAGTTTCGCGATTTTTGGTCTATTTTCTCCATTGTTGAGCAATATTTGGAGCTTTTGAGAAGGATTGAAGAGGTAATCGAATGGAAACACTTGGAGTTAAGATTTTTAAACTCTATACTCGATCCTATGTTGATTCTTACTTGTTTAATCATGAAATATATGGAAAACTAAAGCTTTAAATTGGGCAATTAGGGCTTGGATTTGGAGAGTGTAAATTGGGAATTTGAAGGGGAAATTGAGGTCCGATTTTGATGTTCTTGGAATGTATAAACTTATGAGAGGATAAGGATTCTATTTATGTGACTTTTATCGGATTCCGAGATATGGGCGGGGCCCGGGTTTGAGTAATTTCGGGTTTTTGATGTAAATTGGATGTTTTCGAATGGGCTTTGTTCCCTTAGCATATTTTAATAGTTATGTACTGATTGTGGCTAGATTTGGAGCATCCGGAGGTCAATTTGTGAAGGCAAAGGAATCGGGGCCTAGAGTTTGGACCGGATCGAGGTGAGTAATGATTGAAAATGATGTTTTGAGAGTATGAGACCCCAGATTGTACATCGTTATGCTATATTAAGGTGACACACACGCTTGATGACGAGCGTGGAGTCGTGCACGATTGGGAATTGTGACTTAGTCCGTTCCAAATAACTATTTTATCGCGTATTTGACTGAAATCTATTTGTGAACATCATGTTTTGGGCTGAATGCCATATTTGGGCATCGTGCCAACTATTTGAACCCTTAGAGGATTGTTATTGGTAATTCCTCATTGTTTTTGACTTTAAACTTGTACTCAGTCATGCTATAACTTACAGTTTTCATAACTCAGCCATGTTTACTCTATTTTAACATATTAAATGATATTTCAAATAATATTTTGGGCTGAACATCATGTTTTACTATTGCCGAGTGGCTTATATGATTTTGACTGAGTAAGGCCAAGGGCCTGCGTTGTGAGGATACTTTTGGGTCGGGCTGCACGCCGCAACAGTGATACACTGATTATGATTATGAGGCCGGGGGCCTGATATTTGTACGCCACAAGGTGGTTTGTTGATATGAGGCCGAGAGCCTAGTGATGATGCCACGAGATGGCTTGATATTGCGCTTCGGCCTAAAGGGGCCCCTCCAGGAGTCTGCACACCCCCAGTGAGCGCGGGTACCCATTGCGATGTAAGATATAGCCCGAGGGGCTGATATTGTTGACATTGTGCCCGAGGGGCAATCCTTTATGTGCTTATCTGTCTTATTTGTCTGTCATTTACCTGTTTAATTGTGTATTTGAGCCCGAGGGGCGGATTTTCTATGCTTATCTGTTCTAATTGCTTTGCATTCAATTGCTTAACTATTAAAAAGTCATTTTTTAAAGAAGTTTAACTGAGCTAAGGTGCTTTATGAGATTTCACAGCTTTATTGCTTTCTTACTGGTTTTGTACTACTCTATACAGCATGTTGATGTATTTTTCGTGATTTCCTATCACTCAGTCTTTAGTTATGATTATTACTCACTGAGTTGGATTATTCACTTTACTTCCTGCACCCCGTATATAGATTCCGGCATTGCTGATCCTGCCAGTGCGAGTTGAGAGCTCCCGGACGCCTTCGGAGTCCACGAGGTAGCTGTTTGGCGTCCGCAGTCCCGTGTTTCTCCCCCTTTATCATTTCTATCTCTTTATCATACTTTTTGTAATAGCTTATAGACTTTTCCAACTTGTATTAGGATTGATAGATGCTCATGACTAGTGACACCCCGATATCGGGCTATGTTGGGTTGTATTCCGCAAATTATGCTATTATCTGCTACTTTGAGGTTCTATTTATTATGCTTAGACTTATTCCTTATGGTTTAATTGTTAAAAATTGAAATGGGAAGTGTCGGTTGGACTTGTCTTCACGAGAGGCGCCATCACGACCGAGTCCGGGTTTAGGGTTGTGACAATTTCCATGTCATCATCCGAACGCAATGTCGAAAAATATTTAGAATGAAGACCAACACGCCCCAAATCTAGAATTGTATCACTATTTACATCCTCGTATTGTACACACACTAGAGTCTTCATATATAATATTATCTACTTCCTCACCTGACTCTAGAGTGCTTTTCTCAACATGGACATCATTAATAAAAGTGCGGTCGGATGATTGACTCTTCACTTTTAGCTCCTCAAGTCGTGAATAGCAGTGCCAAATTTTTCGATCTCTTGTCACAGTTCAGCTCTTCCTTCTATTAAGTCTTTTATCCCATCTGTAATTTTCTCATATTGAGCCTCATATATTTCCAATCTTTCAGCTTGTTCCACCGGCCAAGTTTGACTCATAATCTCCTCTTTTTAAAA